ATTGTCTTTATTCTCAGAATTATCAGTTTAAATGTTTCACTGTGATTGTAAATTTGTCTACATGTTCTAATGCTTTTTAAAATTCTTTTGTTTATATATATTGAGGCTACATTGTTCAGTACATAGATTTATGACTCTATATGCTTAATCATTAAACATTGGTATTCTCAAACCATTCATAAGTTTTTCACTCAGTCTAATTTATCTTAGATTACTATTATTACATAAGTATGTCTTTATCCATTTCTTTATCGTCAAAGTTTTGGCTTTATTGTATTTTAACCGGTAAGTTTCATCATTTTATTTTTATAAAAGTATTGATATGTTTGCATTTATGTTAACATATTTTTTTGTTTCATTCTGTATTTTACATTTTCTTTTTTCTATGTTTCTATTTTGTCTCCTTGTCTTCGCTCTACCCTTACTGTTCTTACTACACCTCAAGTCTCTAGACATTGAGGTTTGTATCTGCATTGACTTCTTCCCAAGACATTACAATTTTAACTTTCTTGTTCACCATTGTACATTCACTTCTCTCTTATTTGGTATGGGAAAGTCCCCAATTTTATTTGAACTTATGAATATATATCCACATTTAATTTCATTGTTATTTTTGAGCAGAGTTTGAGACATTTTCAGTGGAAGTTCCTAAATAGAAGAATGATGGTAGATAGATAGATAGATAGATGATAGATAGATACACATATATAAGGAAAGTGTACAGAGTATGATAGAGAAGATAAAATTTTAGTCTCCATTTTAAAAACAGACATAAGTTAAACATATTTTATAGATTATCATTGAATTTTGAAACTGATATCAGAGTCACAGAAGACTTAAAGTTAATTAATCAATAATAAAAATTAAATGCTGCATAATTCTACAGAGACAAACACTGCTATTTCAAATCTATTTGATCTTCTAGACTTTTAAGCTATTTTTAATGTTATAATGCTGAGCAGACCTTTTCCTGTGGCCAGCAGGATCCAAAGTGGCACCCAACATTTTAAAGACGGCCAGACACGGTGGGGCGCGTGACCACATCCAACAGCTTCAGCACTGTGGTCAGCACCTGCCCGCCTACACCACTGGGCAGCAGGAAGCCCGCGGTGGGGATGGAGTCGCGCTGGAGCTGGGAGACTGGCGTGGGGAGAAGCGCTGCGCCGTGTTGGGCTGGGCAACGATGAGCAAACAGGCTTAACTCGACCTTAATATCATAAACACCTTCAAACTTATCTTGGGGAAATATTTTTTATTAGATATATGCATGCTTATACTAGCACCATCAACTTTGTACCTCAATTCTGGGTGTTCTTACCATTTTCCTATAATCTCTCTCTCATTGTTAACTTTCACAGATACATATGCTCCCTGAAATCGAAAAATGATTTTTCAAAAGAATCTTGCCTGAACTGATCACTTACGTATTTAAAAGTTAATGCATGCATTAGTTTCCTATTACCACCATACAAATTATTACAAAATAATAAAAACAAAAGCTTTTGGAAAAGTGTATTTTCTGACATATCAGAAATGCAGTTCATTTTACCAACACAGTGTTATTTTGTTTTAATTCAGTTTATGGAAAACATATGGCAATACAAACTGTTTATAAACTCCTTTCTCCTCTAAAACTGGATAAAAGTAGAAGACTTCTGGTATTGCACTTTTTTAACAGAGGTAAACCCAACAAGGACAAATTTAGAATAGGGCTGTACTGCTAAAAGTATAACAGGAAGTTAAACCTAGTAATAGAATATATATTTTTGCTATATAAATAAATCACTTGGAGTTGGACCAGAGTAGAAGCCCATTTTTCTTTCCTATCATCCACGCATAACACCCAAGCGCATCCCGATACATCAGGCCACACTGCGTGTAACTACATGACTATCTTGCCTGAGGCCAGGGACCGGTGAAGAAAATGGTGTGACCAGGACTACAGGATTATGAGGAAATAAAAAAGGAAGTGCAAAAGGGCAGAGGCTGCACATTCTAGAAATAGTTTAGGGAGACCACATAGTACAGACCCATAGCCTAAATTAAAGATTGGCAATGAACTGTTTAACATGAGTTGAAGAAAAGGTAAGAGCCGCTCTCAAATTCCCACCCATCGACCCTAAGTGTGTTGAGCTGGAAAACTTAAACGGGAAAGAACTATTTACATACTCTGATCAGAAGTGACCTGTCAACAGTGTGAGCACTTCTAGTTTTGTAACAGACTTTACCATGCATTCCTTCCACAATTAAAGGAGCAGAATTTACACATATAAACCAGTTCTTATTTTCTTATTACAATGTAATCACTATTAATCCAGGTAGAATTTTACTCAGAAGGTCTAAATAATAGGACAGGTCCCTTTGTAAGAAGACTGACTGCTGGAGTGGATTAAAAGCTTTCAGAGAAATCCTCTGCTCATGTATATTAGAGTGGAAGGATGTGATTTTCCTACCAACAGAAATTGCTGCTTTATCTGGTTTGCATTTCGAAAGGGCATCCTAAAATATCATTGACTTTATGCCATTCAACTATTATGAACCCTTTATTCAACTTAATTTTATAGCTACCTTCTAATGTTCTCAAATATTATATTCAATTTCAAATTATAACAAAATTCTTTTACTAAAATTTTATTATCAAATGATACTCTGTAAACTATGGTATTTACACAAATTATGCATCTATTAATTTCTTTTTTTTCTTTCAAATATATTTCTATTTGGAAACCGGTTTCATAAGATTGCAAGTCACTTCATGTGTCTTTCTCTTCAGAATTCATATTTTGTTATTATTCAAAACTCTTAAGCATGCTAAAGAGCCATGTAATCTTAATTCTTGTGTGCCATTTTCACATTCAGATTTCTTTCTCCACACCTTCAAGTTTTAGAAATAAATAAAAGTTAGGACATAGGAGGACACAGGCCTCAATCAAATAGTTTCACGTGAGAAAAACTCATAAGTCAATTGAGAAGATAGCAAATAAACCTCTAAAATAGACATGAGGATAAAGAAGGTTACATTTTCTGCCTGACTTCTGTGTTCTACATATTTTTATAATGCAATAGGGTATTTTATAATGACTACATTTATTTTTCTTTCCTCTCTTTTTCAGTTGGGGTGGGCCGAGGGGGCCGGGTGCTGGAGAGCAAGTCAGCGCCGGCGGGTTTGCTGCTCTTGGGAAGAGGCCTGGAGCAAGTGGGGAGGCCAGGAATCACGCCTGGAAATGAAGCTTATTTATGTCCCGTGTTTCTTCGTAATTTTATAATCCTGGAGATTACTCTTGTGTTCCCTATTGGCACTTAGTAGAGTCTCAATAAATATTCATTAACTGGATGAATGCTTTCATTTTAGACACTATAAAAGAGCCTGGGCCTTGATAGGTTATTACTGTAAGCGGACATTAACCATGAGTAAACAAAACGCGACACCGGTTCCCGTCCCCGCACTCGAGTCCGCGAGGCGGCGGGCCAGGCCGGGCAGAGCGCAGCCTGGGCCGCAGCGGCTGTGGGCCCGCCCGCCTCCTGGAGCCCTGGAGGCCGGAATGGCTCGCACTTGACAGGCGTCTTACTGACATGCATTTGCTAGAGATGGAAAGCTCTTTTGGCTTGCCACCAGATGCTAATGGAGACTCTATGCTTGAGCACGAGGTGACATGTGACAACGGCCCCAAACTACCCTTTATGAATTAGGAATAATGTGGTCCACAAAGCCATAAAGTAAGACATTCCTAGCATCATTTGCTCATCCAGTAGGTCTGGTCTAAACACTCCTAAGGTAAGAACGTGCTAAAATGCAAGAACATTAAATGAACAGTGTGCCTATATTTCTGCATGCCTATAAATGCCATACTGCTATACTTTTCTCAAACCTCAGGTAGCGTGTCTTGGAAGGGTGTGCTCACTCTGATGGTTTAGGATGCAATGTGGGCATTTTTTGGTTTCTATTTTGTAATCCAGTATATCAGCGTTATTCAAAGTCTCTGTGGAAGGGCACGATTTCTACTGGCCTTGTTGTAAATCTGGAAAGAAAATTCATAAAGGAAATCACTACAGTTTGAAGCAGTCATGTCCTTTCAACAAGTAACATGTAGCCAGTGACCTTGCTTGACACGAATTTTCTCCCTCACTGATGCTGGCCTGCCTACGATCACCAACTAATGCCCAATATATTAGAAGCAGCAACTAAAAATAGTGCATACCTGAGGTAAAGAAAGAAGAAAAATATTCATTACCTTGGGGCAATAGATTAGATGCAGAATTAGCAACATGGTTGGTTCTTAAGAAAATTCTTATTGCCAGAAGTATGAAACATATAACAAAATAAAATTTACAGAAGCAGCAACAAAAATAAGTATACTAGATAATCATTCTCCTTTTGCAAGAGTATACTGTAATAAAAATTCATTTTAAATATATGAGTTTAGTTATTTTATATGAAGAGGGGGACGAAAAGTTGACTAGAATGAATGATGATTTACTTAAATATTAAAAATCAAATACAGACCTTGCACTCCAGTGATTAAAAGGTGCTGTGAACTTAGAAGGATGTTTGTCTCAATTTGTGCATCTGATGTCAAAGGAAAAAAGAATCAATAAGTTATGATTTGTTTTAATGAAGAAAAAGGGCCAGTGTTACAATGAAATAGTAAACAAGAAGGGAGGAGGTAGAGAGAGTATGGCTTCAGGGAGGGAGGGAGTATTCCATTCATTTAGGTCATGGTAACAAATCAGAATTTTATTTTCCTGATCTACTGAAGTTTTTAAAGTGTGGGAGAAATATCACCGGACTCAGCCTAGATTGAAACACTCTGGCTACTTTGTGAAAACTATGCTACAGAGGAATGAAAGCAAAAAAAGCGACAATAGCTAGGAAGAGTTTGCTGCCCCTGGTGAGATTGTGATGGTTGGCATCAGGGCTGTAGGACATAGGGAGAAGTGAGTAAAGTGATCTGCCACAGACCAGACTAAGCCATGTCAGTTACCTTCAATATTTTTCCCATTAAAGTCCAAAAACCTTGGAGAGACAGCCTCAGCACTTCAGACTGTGTTTCCCCGCAGTGGTCACTAACTCTTCTGAAACATTGCCCTTTTTACAAGTGTTACTTTCTCTCCTATCTTTATGCTGTTTCACATGCTACATTTTAGCTTAGGAAAACACTCCTCTTTTCTAGACTGTAATCTCTCAGATTCGGCAGAAATTCAATTCCTCTGAGAATTCCTCTTAAACTGTCTTCAAACCAAGAGCACTTTAATTTCTGATCCTAGTACTCCATTGTTTGTATGTGATTTTCTTTGTACTTGTACTTTCCTATTAACACTGTTTTCATTCTGTGGAATGTTTACTTGTGTGATTTTCTGACTAGATTATATAATTAGCAAAGATAGAACTCTATGTAATCACAATCTAACTGAGCACCTTAAAAATGGCAGGTGTTTAATAAATGCATGATTTTGATTACTCAATGAAAAAATAGTGACCAAAGCATATTGCCTTTCTTCCTTCTTTCTTTTTCCTTCCCTTTCCTTTCCTCTTTATTTCCTTTCTTCCTTCTTTCTTTCTTTCTTTCTTCCTTTCTTTCTTTCTTTTTGTTTTAAACCTACATGTCTCTTTTGGAGCTTTTCTATCAAGTAAAATTTGTAAAAGTGTAAATATATCAGATATATGTGATGCTTGATATAAAAATAAAATATATTAATATAGTTGAGTAAATAGTGTATTTATTTATTTACTCATTTATTACATTTATTCATCAAGAATAATATTTATTTACCAAAACCTATACACATCATAGAAGATACAAAGAAAACTTCCATCCAAATGGGATATCACATTTGTGGGTTCAATAGACACACAACTATTTCCACAACCACAAGCAAATCCTGTTCAAATATACATGAAAATATGCATGACGGAAATGATAAAATAAATCTTTGTTAAAGAACATAATCTGATTATGTTTCTTTATATCCATATTCAAAGTTTTAGAAAAATATGGTTTGATATGTTTTAATTAATATCTCTACCATTTTGTTTCAGATAAGACAAATTTTGTGGCACTTACCCCAAAACTTAAAGGATGTTGCAAATTGTCAGTCTATTGCAAATGCCAATTACATTATATCCATAGTTCCAATTCATCAATCACATTACATCACAGTATTATACAAGAACATAGCAAACAGAAATGAAATGATAAATGCTATAATAAAATATGAGACACTACTTCAATGCAGACTCTCAATGTTAAACTATTTGATATGCAAATCTCAGATGCTCTGCTCATTGTTTTTCCATTTGTTTGTATTACCATTGTTTGTTTTTTAAAATAATGCTAAGTTCTGCTAAATGATCTATGTATTCATGTATGCTGTCTATATCTTCCATTGCCTCCTTAACAATTTCAATAGTTATTTTCAAAATCTTTTAAAATAATTCTAAATTGTCACTTGTCTCTATTATTTGTTTCTATTGGCTATTCCCACTCTTGTCCATAGGTACACTTGATTCTTTGAATTCCTTTTTTTTTTTTTTTTATTTCGGCATCTTATGGGGGTACAGATTTTAGGGTTTCAATAAATGTCCATTTCCCCCCTCCCCCGAAAAGTCTGAGTCTCCATCATGACCATCCACTAGATGGTGCAATTCTCACTCATTTTGTATGTATATACCCGCCCCCCTCCACCCTCCCACCTGCCCAATACCCTATTACTGTAGTACCTGTGTGTCCACTTAAGTGCTGTTCAGTTAATACCAGTTTGCTGGAGAATATATCTGGTGCTTGTTTTTCCATTCTTGGGATACTTCACTTAGTAGTATGGGTTCCAGCTCTAACCAGGAAAATATAAGATGTGCTATGTCACCATTGTTTCTTAGAGCTGAATAGTACTCCATGGTATACATATACCACATTTTATTAATCCATTCTTGGATTGATGGGCACTTGGGCTGTTTCCACAGCCTTGCAATTATGAATTGTGCTGCTATAAACATTCGAGTGCAGGTGTCTTTTTTGTAGAGTGTCATTGGATCATTTTGGTAGATGCTCAGCAATGGGATTGCTGGATCAAATGGTAGATTCACTTGTATCGCTTTAAGGTATCTCCATATTCTTTCCACAGAGGTTGAACTAGTTTGCAGTCCCACCAGCAGCGTAGGAGTGTTCCTCTCTCTCCGCAACAACGCCAGCATTTATTGTTTGGAGATTTTTTGATAAAGCCCATTCTAACTGGGGTTAAGTGATATCTCATTGTGGTTTTGATTTGCATTTCCCTGATGATTAGAGATGTTGAGCATTTCTTCATATGTTTGTTGGCCATTCTTCTGTCTTCTTTAGAAAAATTTCTGTTCAAGTCCTTTGCCCACTTTTTAATGGGGTTATTTGATTTTTTCTTCCTAGTTTTCGTGAGTTCTAAGTATATTCTAGTTATCAGTCCCTTATCGGATGCATAGGATGCAAAAATTTTCTCCCATTCTGTAGGTTGTCTGTTTACTTTCATGACTATTTCTTTGGCTGTGCAGAAGCTTTGTAGTTTGATCATGTCCCATTTATTTATTTTTGTTGCTGCTGTGATTGCCTTTGGGGACTTCTTCATAAACTCTTTGCCCAGGCCGATGTCTAGGAGAGTGTTTCCAACTTTTTCCTCTAGAGTTCTAGTAGTTTCATACCTTAGGTTTAAGTCTGTTATCCAGCGTGAGTTGGTTTTTGTGAGAGGTGAAAGGTGTGGGTCCTGTTTTAGCCTTCTACAGGAGGCTATCCAGTTTTCCCAGCACCATTTATTGAAAAGGGATTCTTTTCCCCAGTGTATATTTTTGTCTGCTTTGTCAATGATTAGATGGCTATATGAGGATGGTTTTACAGATTCTCACATCTGTTCCACTGGTCAATATTCCTATTTTTGTGCCAATACCATATTGATTTAATTACTACAGCTTTGTAGTATAGTTTGACACTTACCCCAAAACTTAAAGGATGTTGCAAATTGTGAGTCTATTGCAAATGCCAATTACGTTATATCAATAGTTCCACTTCATCAATCACATTACATCACAGTATTATATAAGAACATAGCAAACAGAAATGAAATGATAAATGCTATAATAAAATATGAGACACTACTTCAATGGAGACTCTCAATGTTAAACTATTTGATATGCAAATCTCAGATGCTCTGCTCATTGTTTTTCCATTTTTTTGTATTACCATTGTTTGTTTTTTAAAATAATGCTAAGTTCTGCTAAATGATCTATGTATTCATGTATGCTGTCTATATCTTCCATTGCCTCCT